TTAATAATAAGTATGAAAAAATACCTTGGCTCAGAAATGGAAAAATGAAAAGCATGGATCAAATTGCCTAGCACTTCTTTGTTAGTTTGACATGAGGCCAGAATCAAGAGTTTATACTAAACGTTGTTTTTAAAATGCACCCTTTACTGATATTTGATATTTTCCCCAAGCAAACTAAGATGTGAAATTTAATAATCCTTTATGACAATTTTATAAAAATGGACTGCCATGCTCGTCATGATGACGAGCCGCTTCATCTGCCGCCTCCAGACATTCGCTGTAAGTTATTGATACAGGGTTCACAGCCTCTATCCATCAGATCTTTGACTGCATCTGTGTCATTAACCTTTGGGTTGATCTGAGAGTGGTATCACCCAACTAACTGGCTGTCATGTCAGCTTGGCAGCTGGGCTTCACATGTTCTCTTTCACTTTGTCTTCCAAGAGCATCTGAACAGATAGGGACAAAGTGATGTAGCCAATTAATTACCTTGTGATTTCTAGATCGTCCAGCTTTTCTCCCGAGATAATGTCAGGAGGAAATAAAATCTAAAATATATGAGTACTTGATGCACTAGAAATATGAGTCAAAATTCTTTGTGCCGTAGAGACCCAGGTTCTGATTTCAGCTCCAAATCTATGTGACTTTTTGTAAGTTACTTAACTTCTCTGGGCCTCATTGGAAATTATTTAGAGGCAGAGACAGTGAATTTTCCTCCAGGATTTATTCTCCTTGTATTAGTTTATAGATAAGTCCTACCTGTTGGGGACAGATCTATCTTTTGGAAGGTTTAAGGACAAAAGGGTATAAAATAAATAAATGAATATGTTGCTAGCTTCCCCTCCCTCAGAGTCTTGGAAGAAGCATATGGGCTCTGAAAGTTATACCACCCTAACTTCACAGTAAATCTGCCTTGACCAATTCTGCCACATACACATAGGTTTTAGTAGGGCTTCTGCTCTCCTAGCTAGAGACATTTCTTAACCTGCCTTATTCTTGAGTGAGATCATCTGACTCAGGTCTGGCTCACAGGAGAACACAAATGTTACATGCAACTTTCAGATTCTGTTCTTAAAATAACCCACTTACACCACCCCTTACCCCCTTTTTTTTCTTTTTCCACTGGCTGGAGAAAGCAGTACCAGAGCAATAGTTGGGCTTGGGAAATGGCACCATCTTGGACTCAAGAGATGGAAGCTCTACCTTGAATCTGGCAGAACCCTCTTGGGATACCACATTCTGGATCACCCTATATATCTAAGTATTCTTTAAAAAAGAAATAAAACTGTATCTTTTTTTTTAAAGTCAACGTATATTCGGGTCTCTTTGCTAAAGTAGCTTAGTTTAATTCCTAATAAATATAAACACCTACATTCTGGTATTTTTATGAGGGTTAAATTATATAAGCCATGTAAAATGCTTGCATGTGGTACTGTGCAAACACTCTCTTTGCAGATGGAATTTTTAAATTATCTAGTTTTGTTTGGACAGACAAGTAATCCTAAAATCAATAGAGAAGTTAAACCTCAGTGTTAATGGTTTTAAAAATCTCTATTTCTTTATCTTAGTAATAAATGTTTCACTGGTTTAGCATTTACAGGGCAAAGGTACTGCCCAGTATCATCCCATCCCATCTTCATATTTATTATCCTTTATGGATATTTTGATGAGTTTATAATGTATATAATAAAGTTTATAGGACATGTAGTAGGTGCTCAACACATGTTAAAATAGCCTACTTCTTCCCTTTCATCACATTCTACATTAGATATAAAACATAATGGCTTTCAAGCTCACAAATATTCACCCATTAGCCTTCGTATTCGTTTGAGGAGCTGCACCTTCTCCCCACATTCTAACAATATGATAAAAGGGAACTGTTGGAATTGCCTCTTTCTTCATAGCCCTTAATGGACTTGTGAATATTTCCCTAGGATTTCTAAAATATTGGTAAGAGAGAGGCACTCTTTCCTGTGGTTCTGCTATTTTAGAAATGTGAAAATTAAAGCTTTCTGTAGTTTTGTCTGCTGTCACACAGCAATAGTTGTGGTAATAATTGATTTACTTGTTCTAAATGCACAAGACAAGTTTCACTCTAGCTTTTCTTGTAATTTGAGTCCATGAAACAAAATATTTCTCCTTGATTAAGGTGAATTAAGGTGGGTTTCTTTCACTTGCTGTGAAAATAATCCCTGAATAATGAGGAGCCTCTTTGCTTCAGTGCAGTGTCTCCCATGGGCTGTTGCTGGAACAAAGATCACTATGCCTGAATTCTCTGCCAGATTAAGTCGGCAAGTGCCCTGCCTTATACAAAGAGAGTTGTTCTCTAGGACACAATCCTACCCTCAAGGGGTTTACCATAGAGAAAAAATGATATGAACAAAATAAGTAGCTATATAACAATACAAGCTTTAAGTAAGTGTGAAAAGCAATAATAAAAAGAGATACGACAATGTAGTGCAGTGTTCATCACAAATATAATTTCCTGTGGAACTTGAGGTTCAGGGCAATAAGCAAAGCAAAGCATATCATAAATCATTAAGAGAATATTTGTTTAAAACTTCTGTGGGATAGTACCTGCAGGCTATGCCTTCCCTTTTTCTGCAGCCTGAATAAGGTAAATAGAATTAGGTCAGCAGCCAAGTAACAGAGCAGGACCCTATGGGGTCTTCCCGGGATAGGCCCTTCCCCCATATCCTCTGCTTTAGCTCCTCTCTGTTACCTAGATAACAGTATTTCCTGAGTTGTTTTACAGATGTGAAAATCCCCCACCAAATGGAAGATGTTAACTACTTGATGACCAGGTGCATATAGCCCCAGGCCTCCTGGAGCCTAAGGACTGATACCCTTAACCCCGTGACACAGATGGCCCTGCAATAAACCTTTCTCTGCTCCAAACAAGGACGTTTTGGTTTGTTTGGCCTCACTGTGTGTCAGGCACATGAACTTGTGCTAACAGCAAAACCATAAAATCTGAAAAGATATGAAGCCTCTAAAGGCTTTTCTCCTGCACTCCCCACCACCCTCATCACTCCTCCCCTCCCTGAGTATACTGCCTTCTTTAGCTCTCCCTTAAGAGCTAAGCTCTCTCCTTTTCCTTGCAGAAAAGGCTGCGCAAGTCTACGTACTGGCCCAGCAGGATGTAGCACTATGTGCATCCCCAGAAGCATAAAGGTTCTAGAGTTTATTGAATTAACTGTGCTGCGTAGTATTCAGTGAAATATAATTAAGCCTCACATTTTCTGTAACTCCTTGGTTGTAGTTTTTATTTATCGTTCCAGGCCTTACTGGGAGTGCTGGGGAAATTCTCCTGAACCACAATACATTTGTCTGGGTATTTGTTTGCATACCTGCTCAAAGCCTTTCCACAAGTTCTGAATATTTTTCCTATATGTCAGCTGCTCACCGAGTTTCCCTCATGGGTCACATCTGTAACACCCACTTCTTTTATTCTCTTATAAATGAACTGGTCATCCAAACCACGTTATCGACTGACTTAGAATGTTTATCACCATGATCACGTTAATTTGCTAACCTCAGGGATTAAGCTGTCTTGACTATTAACAGTGGTTTGAAAAAGCAAGAATTTGCCACTTCCTTTGGTTGATACTATGTAGACTGCTTGCCATATGGCCTGGGCACACATGACCTAGTTAAGAGAGGCAGAGCTACGTGTTGGCAAAAGAATCGGAGGCCTTGGAGCAGTAACTATATACTTAGACTGACATGGGTTTAAGCTAGGCCCTACCACTTAGTAGCTGTATCACCCTAATCAAGTTACTTACTATCTTTAATTTCTTTAAGTTTCACCAGTTGTAAGACTAGCAAACACAACTTACAGACTTGTGGAACTTAGGAATGACAACATTCATAAAATATTTACCAGGTCTATAGTGAGCACTCAGTAGTAACCATTAGCTGTGATTGAGATGACAGTGAATATGAATAAGCAACAAGTAAATGCATAAATATGATTCTGTGATACTTTTTATATTGTAAAATTAATTTAGCAAATTAAAGGAACTATTTGGGGGCTTAGTTTGAAAGCTTAGTATTCCTCTAAAGAAAAAAAAAATGAGGACAAGATTCATCCTTAGATAATTTTAAACTAAAGTTATTCTAAAATTTAATCCAATAAACAATTACTGGGTTTGGAATAAAGTCATTCTAAAATTTAATCCAGTAAACAGTTATTGGGTGTTGTCTGTGCCAGGAAATATGCAAGCATCAGTAATACAAAATTAAGTATAGTTTAGTGATATAAGCATACTGATTGAGCATGTACATGAGATAACCTGAATGTAAAAGTGAAACAGATAATTGTTCAGACATGAAATAAGTGTGTGATATTTTCTAGTCTGCATAACAGTTTATTTCATTTATACCTCCATATTTTACTAGTTGTGGTTTTTCAACATATAATTGAACTTCTACAGTAGGAAAGGAGAAGCATTTTAATTTCCATCAAGATTTAGTATATGTATTTTTCACTGCAACATCCATGCTCTTACTATTAAACTAGGATAAATCATGTGTAGAATTTATTGTTTGATCATGATTGTTTACCTATGCAAAATAAAAATTGGAAAAAATTTACTTGTGTATAGATAATTAATCTTGCTCAATTGTCTAAAAATAACATCTATATGGATAACTGATTATGGTACTTTCGTTCCTCACTTATTTTCTCATCCTATAAATTTTTATCTTCAACTATTCAGTTATTGGGAGATAACATTTTGTGATTTTAAAAAGGCAGCTAATTTTATGTAAATGTTTTGGTTCTTGATATGTAAAGATGTACAAATACAAAATAAAAGGTTTGATTCTCCCTGTGAAAAATAAGGGAAGAGATGTCCTGCCCTCCGTTTTCTTAGATATTTGCTTTAGAAAATTTATAATTATAAATACTTTCTCAGTCTCTTTGAAATGTATGTAAACCTTTTTAAAGTTAAATAAGTCTTTTGTCAGTTTTACAATTCTGGAATATCTTTCTGTAGGACCTAGGAACCATACCTTTGAAATATAATCATCAAGGAAGGTAGCACCCATATTTCCCAGTTTCTGTGAGAGCCCAACCATGACCAAGTTGCAAAACTACCACCTGTCATAGAGGTAAGAATTTAATTTGCCTTTGGGTAAATCCAGTTAACGAATATAATGGATCATCTCAGGTGAATTTAGAATGAACTATGTGTGACAATGGTGCTGTCAAGTCCTCTTACTTGAACAATAGTTATTGTTTACCTTGGGAGCATGTATGGAATGGGTTGTGTCTGCTTGGCTGTATAAAAGGGTGAGATTTCTTTCTGCCTTTGAAATCTCTTAGTGAGTTACCTGTAAGGCTCATCGTGTTCTGGCTTAATACTCATTCAAAAATAAAATTATTTTCTCTCACTTCTGCCTTCGTGAAGCCATTTTTCTGGCTCAGCAGATTTTTTAAAAATTATATTTTCCCAACAAAGGTGAACACAAATATTCACTCATTAAACCATTCATAGTTTTTAAAATGCTATTTAAGCACTGCTCAACAACTATTTAAAAATAAATAAAAATCTGTATACATGCACATATGTATTAAGTTGAATCATTTGATAATGTTTTGCAAGTGAAAAACAGTAGAATATCAGCAGTTTCATGTGTTATAACCTCAATTATATGCATTTAGAGAAATGTGTGGAAGAATCTACAGCTAACTGTTAATATCAGCTAATTAGTTGGGGAGAGATTATTACATTTTCTTTTATGTATCTGTCCTCATATTTTTTGACTTATTGCAATAAGTTTGTATTATTGTTTTTCTTGGTTTACAAAGTAAATTGATTTTTAAAAAGATGCTAATTGCACTTGCAACATAAGCGTCATTAATCAAGGCAGGGACAATTCCCCTTTTACATTTTCTTTTAATGTCCAGCTCCTAATGTAGTGCTACATAAATATTTGTGAAAGGAAAAAAAATGAAAAACAATGTGTGAATGAATGAATGACCATAGCCAGAGAAGATTTTTGAGGGAATAGTGAAGACTTAAATAAGCTATACTGAAATCGTTGACAGGTGTTTGGGGGTAAAAAACAAAAAAAAACAGAGGCCGTATATAAATAAATACCTTTTTGGAAAAGTTTGGCCAATAATAGACTCGGTAAAGTGACTTACATTGTTCAAAAGAGAACCTTTGGTGGTTGTGAGTTCTCAGAGCATATTTGCATGCTTATTAACATCATTGTTGGTGGCAAAGAGGTTGAAGATAGAGAAGGAGACAGGATAACTAAAAGCTAGAGATCACTGAGAAAGCAGGAGGAGGTACTGGTCTTAATTTGGTTCATACAGAGTTCTTCCATTATTCCAAAAAAGAAGAAAAGGTCGCAGAGGCAGGTCTATTTGTGCATCTGTTGGAAGATTAGGAGGATCTTGGCTGATGATGACTTTTCTGTCTCTGCGAGGCCTGGAAATGTGATATGATGCATCTGTTTTTCATGTTGCAATTGCTCTTTCTGAGTCCAATATCTGTACAAACAGAAGTGGTACCTTGCATGCTTTCAAAGCTACAAGTTTTAGTGGTCATTTGCATGCCCAGCTACTAATTCTGAAGAATGGTCATTGTGCCTGAGTGCCTAGGACAGATGGTTTTTCATCTTTAGTTACATATTGCCAAATAAACTCTCCCCCTATGGACAACCCTGGAGTTGATCACAGATCATCAGCCCATTTTCTCCTTTCCTCTTGGTGAGTTCCCATTTGGGGTCCTTGGTTCCTTTCTTCAGTCAGGACCACCAAAGGACTTGAAAAGAAGGGAATGAATTCTGGATCCCTTTTCTTCCAGAGACTCTGTATTAATTGAGGTTCAGTCAGGAAACCAGAAGTAACTCCAGGTATTTCAAACAACAAATGGCTTAATGGAGGGGATTAAAAAATATTAGAAGGTCTGGGGTAGAAAAGATTAGGTAAGCCACTCTACCATTGAGGAAATCAGGAAATTATCAAATTATAGGAAACCACTGCCATTGATTTCACTGCTCACTGTACTGAAGCAGGTGAATCTTTGGAGGACACTGGGAAGTTGCTGGAAAACCCTTGATGCTGAAGCCTTAGTAATTGCCAGCCACAGCCATGAGAATAATAATTGCTTTTGCTTTTTGCTTTTCTTCCAGATTTACACTAGCTCCTCTCATTGGCAGAATCTAATCTAGGGCCATAATGACAGTAATTCTTGAAAATGCAGTTCCCAGGCTTCCAGCTCCTATGATAAAATGAGAACATAGAAGGGGAAAAATAAGCTGAGTGGCCCACACAATTCCACACAATCCAGCACATTCCTCAGCCAAATTACCTACATCCTTTCCCAGGGAACAGTTCCCACTTGACCTACAGTAAGAGGTGCTGAATATGTGTTCTTGCTAATTTGGGTGAGACCCTAGTAGAAACTTATGCCAAAAATTGATAACCTTAGAAAGTTGAAGCTAGTCAAGCGTTAAAGGGCTGGGTTGATTTTCCTCTAACTGCCATTATCACAACTCTCTTAGCAGTAGCCCCAAGGGCATAGCAAATTAGTGTAGGAGTCATTCGTAGGGCTGCCAAGCAGAAACTCTGTAATATTTCTATGCTTCCTCTAACTCCCACCAAGTTGTTTGAAAACCGAAATGGGGAAAAGGAAGTACCACTTTCAAAGGATCACTAAACAGTTGCATTCAGAATAAGTTATACTTCTCAATCTATGAAGGTAACTCTGTTGCATGTAATAATTTAATAAAGACAATTTATAAGAAAGTTTAAGATAAAAAAATTTATAGATGAGATTGCTTTGAAGATTAACTTAAAGCAACCTTGTGAGCTAACATTGGTAAAGAAAGTAGAAATTTAAGAAAATATGAGCAGGTTGCAAAGACTAAAATTACAGTATATTCACTTAAGTTATTATACTGAGTAGTCCACAAGGAACCATTACAGTTAAAATTAGTAATAAAATTTGGAAATGAGAATATCATAATAAAATCAGAGTTTTATGAAACCATGATCAACCCCTTCAGTTTTATGAAATGTCAAGAATTTTTTATTTCTGGATTTAAATCTGAATGTCTTAGATAGCCTGCTACTTACTTCTTCCACAAGAATATTGGCAAGCGTATCAAACAACTATCTTGCTTTATAGAAACCTCACTTTATTTCTGTTTAGGAAAAAGTCCAGATTCTGGGAGGAAGATAGTGGTCATAACAGGACCATTAGATGCTTAAATTGAGGCTGATGGAAAAAGAAATGGAAGACTTAAAACATATTCTTCAGTTTTAGGAGAAACTGAAATTTGAGGCCATGCTTGGCAATGCTTGAATTTCAGTCTTAGTTAAATACACAGTTTAAGACCTCTGAAATACAACACATACAGCTTTTAAAACATGGGAATGGCAAAATAAAAGTCCCTTATTTCTCAGTTCTTTTATTCTCACAGTTGAATAAATTTTCCATTGTTTTTTGTCCTCTGCAGTCTAAGAAATGTGAAAATCTGGTTTTTAATAAAGCATCATTTATTAAACACTGAGGATTTAAAAAGTACCCTCTCAAACACTGAGAGTTTCTTTATTGTTAATTGTTCTAAAATCTTCTCCCAGAGATTTTGTAATTTAAAATTAAGAGCAATTTAACCTGATGTATATGTGATGTGATGTATATGATGTATATGATAATATATATCACACGTATCTATGCACTGCCCATTCTATTTAAAAACATTTAGCAGTAGTAGTTATTATTTTAATTTAGTTGCTTTAGTAAAATCTTTTAATTTTGTGCAAAATACATAAATCAAAAGGAAATTCGTACTATTTTTTTCTCTCACGTGACCATAAAAAGACAAGCTGCTCAACCCAGAAGAGTATTTCTAGTTTCACCTAGTGATGGTATATATTTCTTCCAATAAAACTATGTAGAATTAAATAAGTTTTGACTGATAGATTAGAAAATCTAAGTTAAAAAATTGAAATTAAATATTAAAATTTGGTAAGATAGTGAAGCTTAAGAGTTCTTTGCCAAGTGAAATGAACACAGCATTGAACAGTGTTTGAACATCTCATGATTCAGCAAAAGTTGAGGAGGCTAATCTGGCTAGGGGAATGGGCTGTCTCATTGGAGAGAATAGTGATTAAAATATTCAGATGTGTGAAGGCTTCCATATTGATCTTTATTTCTTTCAATGATATTTCTTATCATTTGCTGTTTGTGCCTTACACTTAGTACTTGTCTTAACTTATCCTCTGATTTATATATTATTTTACGTGAAATCTCTGCCTTAAATAAACTCTTATAGGCCATGAGCCATATTTCATACTTCTTTGTAGTTCTCAATTGTGCATGGCACAGTGCATATTATAGGCATGCAATAAACATTGCAACTGGCATGGTTGATGATGGTGATGTGATTATGCTGGATAGGTAGATTAAAACATGATTGGGGAATTGCTTGAATGCCAATCTGATAACATTAGATACAGTTTTTTACCTAAGGGTAGAAAAGAATTATGGAAGATTTAGGTGATGAAGTCAAAATTTTAAGGAAGAATCTATAGTCGCATATATAATGAAATCAAGCTCAGTGGGGAAAAGAAAATCTATTGACAGGAAATCCAGTTTAAAAATGTAGATTAGTTGCCTGAGGAAGAAGAAAATTAGCAATTCAGGCTTTTTAGAAAATCATAAATGAATTAAGAAGAACTTGAACCTCAATGACATTCGTGACAATGAAAATAATGCAGTGAATAATGTGAATTGTGACTCCTGACGTGAAATCAGAGTGTTTATATGATCAGAATCCCCCAATTCCTAATATATCAGTGCTACTGTCACCTTTGCTATATTGCAAAGAATGTAGAATATGTGTGTAGGACTGCCTCCTTGTCACTAATGGCTGTCTCACCCTCAAATGTAGCGTAATGGGTTGGAATATTTGTGGTTTGCAAATACATATTCTTTTGTCCTTTAAGCTAGAGAGTAAAATGTACTGAACAAACTGTTCTATAACACTTTTATGTTAGGCTTGCAACCTTGGGATCTTAGCACACTTTGTGTTACCACTCTGGCTATGATAGATATAAGAAGAGACTAGAGGGAGGAAGAAGAATGGCTCCA